TCCGCTTTCCTATGTCCATGCCCAGCCCTTGCCCACGCCCATCTGGTTCCCGTGGCCAATCACCAGGGCCCCGCAACTGGATTCCGAGAGCTGTGGAGTCTCCTGGACCCCGAGAGCCAGCGAGGGAGTTGTGGAAGGGGTAGGAGGGGAAGGATGCCTGTGTCCTTGCCCCTGACTTCACCGCCATGAGGCCAGGAACCTCCCAGGCCACAGGATTGGTGGGTTTAAATATGACACCAACAAAACACAAGGCCAGGACCGTCCAGTCATGAGTACCCTTGCCTCCAGTTGCTGTGGGCAATTGCTGTCCCCTGGTGCCTGTGCTGTGCCTGGAGCCCAGGGCCTGTGACGTGGCCACATGTAGAGTTGAGGAGTGAACAGTTAGAAGCCCCAGAGCACAGCGCCAAGGGCGGTCCTGTTCCCGTCAGCTCTGACCACCTCCTTGCCCTGAACACCCTCTGGCTGGCCGGGGATGCTCTGTGCAAAGGAAGCAGAGCCAGTCCCAGCAGAGGTCACGCACACTGCTGCTGGCAGGGGACACTGCTGGAACCTGTGGGAGCAGGGGACTTCCCAGCAGCACAGGTGACACTACTGGAGCCTGTGGGAGCAGGGGGCTTCCCACTGCACTGGATGGCGAGGCCAAGCTACGGGTGCCATCGAGTGGTTTTGGATGTGCCTCTGCCCTGGCATTTGTCCCAGGCATCCAGGCAGGGCACAGCAGACCCGACCAACACTGGGAGGTCAGGAGACGGAGAAGGATGTGGTTCTGGTGCGGGGTCCCTGGCTTCAGGGCCTGGAGGACTGGGAGGACAGGCAGGACGTGCAGTCACCCACTGTGGCTAGTGTACTGCTAAGGAGCGCTCCCCACAGGACCCCGGGCTCCTGGCCAGGATGTCTCTGGCGCCCTGACAACCCCTTCCTGTTGTGGAAGCTCAAAAGTGGCATTTAAAAACTCAGAGAGGTTTTGCTGGGAAAAAAAATATCGTGCTGCCTGAAGAGGAGGTGGCCCTCAGCAGCAGCCGCCCAGCCCTGGGCCTGTCCCCACCCTGTCCCCACCAGCCAGGCTGACTCCTGTGCCCCTCACCTTCTGGCCCCTCTCCTGTCCCTGTGCTTCAGAAACTCGAAGCCAACTCCTGACACCTCCTCAGATGAGCAGGGAGGCAGCAGGGACCCTGGACCAGTCCTACTCCTGCTCCTGCCGGCGCCTCCACCCCAACGGCCCACCCGGCTTCCGGCCGAGAACAGGCCAATGCTTAAAAAAATAAAAAGGAGGGACTTCGGCAGAAGATCCCACAGGGAGCGATGCTCCCAGTGGGGCAGGGGCAAGTCTTGGGTTCCTCTGAGAACAGGCCTTCAGGGACTAAGGTGACTTGGTGACAGAGCAGGAACCAGTCCCTCGGGGGCTCGCACCTCTGCAGAGCAGAGATGCCACGGGAAGGGTCTGCCGAGGCTGCCTCATGATGGGCAAGGAGAGGGTCTTCCTGCCTCTTTCTGTCACCAAGGGCAGAAGGGGACACACAGGGGTGCACGCTGGAACCCAGTACCTGGGGATAAGTGGAAGCTCTCTGGGCCAAGTTCTCACCTGGCAGCCGCCGCTGGGGTCCCTTCACGCCAGGCTAACTTCTGAAGTTAAAGGCTGCTCTGATTTGAATGTGAGTCCCTCAAATTTCAGGGGTTGGAAGCCTGGTCCCCAGGGCCATGTGAAGAGCGGGTGGGGCCTGCTGGCAGCGGGTGGCTCTTGTGGGGCCCGAGTTAGTTCTCGAGAGAGTGCGGGTTCCCCATCCAGGGGCTCACTTCTCACCTGGCACCCTCTCTCATGCATTAGCTCCTGCTGTTGTGATGCCATCTGCCGTGAGGCCCTCACCAGCGCCCAGCTGGTACTAGTGCTGTGCTCTTGAACCTCCAGAGCTGTGGGCTAAATAAAACTCTTTTCTTCATAAGCCCCTAGCCTCAGGTATTCTGTTATAGTAACAGAAATGAACCCATACAAGGACCAAGTCTAGGTTAAGGGCTTTGAGTAAGTTAACTAAGATGTAGTCCATAAGTTTCATAATATGATACACCTCTAAAAAAGCCTCTTTTAAGATGGTATGCTGCCAAAACACAAGTACCTCATAGGTACTTTTAAGAGTTTAAGTTAATTTTTTTCTAATTCATTCACACTTTTCTTCAAATAGCTCTCTCAAATTTTATTTGCACGCATGTTTCTTAAAGGTTTGCAGGGATGAGGCAGAACATGGTAGGCAGAAGAAACTTACCATGGTGTCTTCCCTTGTGTGTCAGCTGTGACATTTGCCAGCTCTGTCCTGAGCAAACTGTTTATCCCGCCTGGCTTGTTACTTCAGTAGTAGTGGGGAGAACTGGCAGGTTAATCCAAGCGCTAGGCACACAGTAGGTACTCAGCTAATGCCGGCTGCTACTGCCTGCTTCTAACAGCAAAGGCTAGGGACCTTCCACCAGAAGTCACAATTTCACTCAAAACACAAGACGGAATGAACTCCTCTCTGTTCTCTAAAGGGACCAGGCTGGAAGGATTTTTTCTTGTTTTTTGACAGAGCACTTACTATGCTGACTTGAAAAGGAAAAAACGATTCTGCTTTTGTACCTAATTAGGAATAAATAACATTCAAATATCAGACAGAATTAAGTGCTTAAATACACTTAATTTCTCAAACAACAAAAATTTTAGTAGCAACGATCATACATTTTATGTATTCTGGATCCTAAACTCTTATCAGTTATGTGGCTTGGAAATACCTTCTCCTGCCCAGTGCACTGTCCCTTCACTTTCTTAAATGGTCATCAATTTCGTTTTTGATAAAATCTTGCTTTTATAGAAATTGACATTGCCAACTTTTTTTTTAAAGTCTTCAAATTTAGATGCGACAGTATTTCTTAAAAAATTTATTTTATTGTTTTAAAACCTATTCAAATTATATAACTATTTCTTTAAAAACACAATCTGTACCCAAAAAGGGGGTGAGACCCGAGTCCCATGGGCAGCTGCCTTTGGCTCTGCTGACAGCTTTGGGTCAGGCCGACAGCTTCCTTACCTCACCCAGGAAGTCATAGGCCTGCTCTGAGAGGTCGAAAGGCTGGTGGGCCCTATCTGGGGACAGGAGAGCGCGCAGGGCGCCCCCATGCTCCTGGTTCTGCTTGAGGAAGTCAGCGATGGCCCTCCAGCGAGCCCCCTCGCTCTCCTCTTCTGCCCAGCGCAGCGGGGGCAGCAGCGTGGAGCACAGGAGCGGCCACGCGCAGTCTTGGTAGACCAGGAGGAAGGTGGCCTTCAGGCACTCAGGGTCTCTCTGGGAAAATGCCAAAACCACAAGTGACCAGGACGGCCCACTCGCTGCACCTGAGGCACGACAGCCACCTAGGGGCGGGGTGGAGGGTGCCCTGGGGCCCGGCAGGGGGTGCAGCCGCCTGGAGCGGGAGGGAGCAAGGTGGGCAAGGAGGGGAGCTCGGCCCTGCCCAAGCCTCCAGGGCTCCGGAGACCAGGGTGCTGCGGTAGGATGGGGGACAGGGCATGGTCCAGGCTAGACAACCAAACACAGCAAAGCTGTCGACTCGGCTCCACCACAGCCTATCAGAGCCATGGTCATGCCCTGGTGGTGGGGATGGCCGTGTCCTGCATGGGGTCCAGAGAAAGGAGACCCCAGGACAAGATTTGCAGCCATGCCTGGGTGGGGTGGGGGCCCTCAGTCCTGAGGGTGTCAAAAGCTCCCAGTGACAAGAGTGATGCGTACCAGCACCAGCTGCGGTGGGTCTCAGAGGGCCCAGCAGGCCCAGGGCAGAGCTGTCACATGCAGCAGAGCCCACAATGTGTCCCCAACTGTGCCCATGCGAGCACTGGGGTAGTCCTATGGGACTCAGGACAATGTCTCGACCCCGACCCCTGGGTTTAGGGGCATTAGCGTGTCTTTATCCCTCGTTCCTTGCAGGTGACCACCGCCTCCATTCAGGAACTGGCCACCATGGACTGCAGGTCCGAGCAGCCTTCTCGCTCTTCACAGGGACACAGGGTACTCAGCCACATGTGCCCTGTCTGCAGCCACGTCTGCAGCACAGTGGAGCAGCTGCTTTGAGTCCAGGGCCTCACACGTGCTAAGTGAGTGCTCTACAAATGAGCTTCACCCCCACCCAGAGTTGAGCAGTCCTGACAGAGGCTATGACACCTACAAAGCCAGAAATATTTACCATCTGGCTATTTACACAAAGTTTGTTGCCAGGCGCAGTGGTGCACACCTGTAACCTCAGTAGCTTGGGAGGCTGAGGCAGGAGGATTGCGAGTGTGAGGCCAGTCTCAGCAACTTGGCGAGGCCCTAAGGACTTAAGTGAAATCCTGTCTCTAAATAAAAAGGGCTGGGGATGTGCTCAGTGGTTAAGTCCTTGGGTTCCATCCAATCCCCCAAAGAAAAAGGCTGCCAAATCCTGGATTACAGAAGTCAAACCCCACCATGGTCCACTGTCCACTGCAAGTCCCACGTGCTGATTACCACTCAACAGAAGGCAGAGCAAGTACTATTTCCGATATGTGATGCAGTTTAGGCTGGCTCCTTCTCTTTCTCTACTATGGGGATTGAGAGCTAGAGGAACTTTTAAAAGTAAGGAACATTGGAGAGCCAGCCAGAAGGGCTGGTTCAGAAACTCCTTCATTTCAATGAGACTCAGTGACCTGAGATGCCTTTGCACATTCAGACCCGATCATGCACACCCTTCTTGGAATGTGCACTGTGACCACAGTGACACAGTTTCCCTGACGGACAGCAAGCACCACTGTGGCCACTTGGCTGGAGAAGAGCCATTATGGGGCTGGGCGGGGCTCAGTGGCAGAGCGCTTGCCTGGCATGCATAAGGCACTGGGTTCCACCCTCAGCAGAACATACAAATAAATGGAGTCCACTGACAACTAATCAAATATAGGGAAAAAAAAGAGGAGGCATTACTTGAATGCAAACAACAGCGCTGCAAATACGAAGTCAGTATAAAAACCACATTACCTTCTCCGATCTTTTCAACATGCTTTCTCTCTCAGCCCACGAACTCTAGAAAAGCGAACAGAAAGAGGTCAGTCCCGTGTCCCCACAGCACTTCTGCAGCTTGTCTCTGAGGGAACCTACGGGCAGGGTTAAGAACAGTATGGAGTGACGGAATGACCCAACGCACCTGCTGCTAATCACCAGGTACCAGACCCACACGGCAGAGGTGTGCAAGGTGCCCCAGGAGCTCAGTTCTCATAGGTCAGAACCAACTTAAGAGAACCAGCGGCAGCCACATGCCGTGCGGTCTGCACTGCCACAGGCTAGGGCTGTGAGCTAGCATTGAGCTTCCAAGGTAAGACATCAGCGAGAAAACACTGCCAGATGCCACAGTCCTGCTCCCATGCGATGCCCATGGATGGGGGAGATAGAGTGAAGCAGTTTTGCAATATTCCCAGCCTGCCCACAGGCTTCACAAAAGCTCCTTTAGAGAAATAAGATCCCATGGGGTATGGACTGGAGTTCCCAGCCCCAGTCCTGGCAGCTGGTGAGCCTGGATGGAGCACGGCCAGCCTCAGGGCTGCCTCCCGGCCTGGGTGCAGGAGGCTTCCCCTGCCAGGGCCTGGTTTGTGGTACACCTGCAGGCAGTACCCGTTCTCGGGAGGGAGACTCTGGGGTGCTCATGGATACGGGTGCCAGGAAAGAGAGTCTCCATGACAGAGAGGCTGCTCCAGGGGTGATCACAGATGAAGCCACTGTGAGAAGGTTCTGGAGTGCTCAATTTTCACTGCCTCATCGGACCATGGTTCCCCACACTACTGACTATTCACCATTGCCTGGAGGTCCTCAAAGGCCTGAAGAGGCCCCTTAAAGAGCCAGAATACTTTACTAATCAGGCCAGGCGCCATTCTTATTATTAAAAGCTAATCACATGCTGAGCATAGTGGTGCACAGCTGTAATCCCAGGATTCAGGAGGCTGAGGCAAGAGGATTGCAAGTTTGAGGCCAGCCTCGGCAATTTAGTGAGGCCCTAAGCAACTTAATGAGTCCCCATCTCAAAAAAAACAAAACAAAACAAAACAAAAAACCTATCAAAACTGCACTTATTTAAATACATCAAGATGTACACACACTTCATCATGTAAATCTGAAGACAATATGGGTTAATGTGAATATCACTGAGCAGCATTAGACTGACTCTGCGGTAAACTCTGCCTGTGGTTGGTGACATCCTGTGCCATCTTTCACTGAGCAGCAGCCAGTGGTCAGCTCTTTCCTGCAGCCCTGCTCTGCACCAGGCCCCTTCTTCCTCTCTGCAGCAGACAGAAGCCCCTGCCCCCGGCTCCCTTCAAGTCGGGTAGCCCACAGAACTAGTGCTGGCCCAGGCACCCTCAGGGCGAAGGCTGTGAACATCCCAAGGACAAACCTCCCTCCGTCCTCTCCCTGTTCCTGCAGGGACAATGGGCAGCAGAGGAGGCTGCTTGTTCTAGTTCTGGATGATGCCCTCAGGGTGGGCCTCTGCCAGCCCGCACTCTTGGGGGACCATGGAGCAGGGTCTTCGCTGACCCAAGCTGGGCAGGGTCCATGAGTGAGAAGCCAGCCAGGCCCATGTGGGCGGCTGGCGAAGCCTTGCTTATCCTGTCACACTAACAGGTCAGGGCAGAAGGCTGGAGAGTGTGGTGCAAACACTCTGCCATTTCTATTATTTATCAAAGATTCACTATGGAAAAATTAAGAAAATACAGATTAAAATGACCCATGACCCAGAGGCCATCACTGGTAGTTTCCTGGAGCATCATCTTCCAGATGTTCTCACAGACCTCCCCCGTGTGTAAGTAACACGTAACCACATGTACCCACACCTGCACAAGAACGTGCACACACGCACGCAGCTCTCTCCGGGGATACACCACCTACACATACCCAGTGTGTCCCAAACGAGGTGTTTTTCCTTTATGTCGCAACAGACTGCATGGCTTTCTCCGTGTGTGCTCCGTGGCCCAGCCTGTGGCCTAATTGGCTGCACCCAGCTAGCCCTCGGTGACAGCCCTGCTTGGCCCTGATGAACTCCGGGGCCAGTCAGGTCACTGCACGTTTCTAAACCATCTGCTTCTCAAGGACACGCAGCCGTCGGCTAGCCTGGCTCTGAGGTCCCCCTAACAGAGACGTTCCTGTGGCAAAAAGGCCCAGCCCTCAGTGAAAAGCTGCCTGGCGCTAGTGACTTCAGAGGGAAGCAAGACCAACACTGCACCGTTCAGTACAGCCCCAGGGGACCATGCAAGTGGCCACAGCCATGACCTTTTTGCTGAAAAAGGCCCAAAGAGAATCTTCTTATTCCCCCACCCCAGACCAGTCAGCACACAGTCAGCTGCAGGTCTAGAGATCTCCAGGGATGACCGAGGCCTTCCACCTTTGCTGTCAGGCCCTCTGACCACCCTCCTAGCCACTGAGTCCCCAGAGCCCGGCCGCTCCTTCCTGCACATGGGCTGAGGAGGAGTCCACCTGCAGCACAAGCCTAGCAGGAACCACTTCCTGTACCCATGCCCTCCACACTGGGTCCGCGACCTGGCCCATGCTCCGTCACTCCCTGGCCTGCACCCAGCGTGCCAAACCAGAAAACGGCTCTCCTCTAGAATACTCTCCACTGATTCCTTCCTGCCTGGAATGTCTGCTCAGTGTCCTCACCTGCCCTCGTGAGTTGAGATCCCAGCTGGCCCAGCCCAGAGCTCCTTAATGAAGCACTGCTGCCTTCTTTAAGTCGCCATGGCCCAGGGCACCGTCCTGCTCTGGGCAGCACCTGGCATGAACACGGGTCCTCTAATGTTTGTTAATCCTGACATATTAGCTTGAGCCATGGGGACCCGCCATCTCTTAAGGCCAAAGCCACTGGACACTGGAGATGTCGCGTGCTCTGGCCTAACGTCCCTGCTGTTCTAGACGTGTGGACTGGCCCTCAGGGGTGCCGCGTGCCCTGACTCGCCTCTGAGAACTCAGCTGGTGGGTTTCCGCTTAAAAGCGTTCTAAAAGATGTCACTGGTGGTCATGTTAAGCCCAGAAAGAAGCAGGCACAAAAATGCCACAGGGACCATAGGCACCTCGTGCTGCTGGGTCAGGGGGGGCAGCCTGGCAAGAGCTTTTACCCTGACAGCGGAACAGTCCTGGGAGACAGAGCTAGGTGACAGAGCTCACTAAAGCGAAGCCAGCAGGTGCATGGGCACCGTCTACTCACCCTGAGGGCGTCCATCACGTCGGGCTGCTCCAGGAGCTGGGGGAAGGTGGCCAGCATAGGATGACTAATCAGATCTGAAAGACACAGCACAGAGTCAATGCACCTCTCTGCCCTGCATCTAAAAACACTCACATTAAATGATTGGGCCAAATGATTTGTTAACACCCGCCACACACCTTGACCTCCAGGAGGCTTAATGTGGTGCCCCCGACCCCCTTGTCCTGTTTCAGGGAGTTTAAAGCGATTCCTGCTAGGGTGAGGGTCATTGGGCTCTCAATAGGGAGGCTGGGAAGTTTATTTCTTCTCCTGGGGTTTCTTTCACATTTCCACCCCTTCCTCCTATGAGAGTGGCCTGGCAAGAGGAACTTCCAATTAGGTAGCCTTGCTCCCGGAGGGCGGGCAGGAGCCAGGAAATGCCAGGGGAAGGAGGGGGAGCCGCTGCTCAGGGTGACTCCAGTCCTTGGGAAGGACCCCAGCCTTGGGTAGGTGCCAGTGGGTGGTGGTGGGTGAAACTGGAAGGATCCAGAACTGGAGGGCCTGGCCCCACGGCTACAGACGTGTAGGACAGCACCACAGCACCGATGGCCCACAGGAGGGTGGCATAGGAGGCAGCTGGCCAAGGCCCCATGCACTGTGGCCTAATGTCCCTGCTGCTGTCCGGTGCCTGGGCCCGGCGACTCCTGCAACAGCAGCAGGTCACCTCCGACAGCTCTGGAGGAGTCCTTGGGGTCCACCAGCAAGGAACCAGCAGTTGGTATCCAGCTTCTTACTGTGTTGCTCCTCTGTAGAAGAGGAATGCTGGGGCCCACGTGGGAAAGGCGGGAGGGCGGGGAAGGCACGTTCCCTGCGCTGAGCTCCTCTAAGGGCACCTTCCCCGGTCACTTCTCCAGGTCCCACCTCTTAACACCACTGCTGCAGCGACGCTTGATACACAGAGGGGCTTCTGAAAGAGCGAATCTATTCTATAATTTTGTGTCCTCACTAAAGAAAAACCCCTCCTCTTGATCTTATTATGCTTATTCTGATGATCAAATGCAGTCAGCCATCTTGAGTGATCTTCTCATCCGAAGGAGGGACTGACTAATAAGCCTCATTCTCTTTAATAAGTCATGTCACACTGGGTGTAGTGGCCCATGCCTGTAATCCCAGAAACCAGGCAGGCCAAGGCAGGAGGACCGCAAGTTCAAAGCCACCCTCAGCAACTTAGCAAGACCCTAAGCAATTTAGCAAGACCCTGTCTGTAAATAAAAAATAAGAAGGGCTGGGGATGTGGCTCAGTGGTAGTATCAAAAAACAAAAACAAAAAGAAGTTGTGTCACTTGTGAAGTTTTTATAGAGTCATTAAAATAAACTCAACAGGCTTAATGATCCTCCCTTAGCGTATGGCCTTGCTTAAAAATGGCTGCTGGGGCTGGGATTGTGGCTCAGGTGGGACCCGGTTTGATCCTCAGCACTACATAAAAATAAAGGCATTGTGTTGTGTCCATCTATACCTAAAATAAATAAATAAATATTTTTAAAAAAATGGCTGCTGACTTTGAGCTGCCAGGTACCAGGTGGTGAGTCCCTGGGTGTGGACTCTGTCTAACAGGAGTCAGGCTGCTCTTTCACTCACTCTCCTGTCCCCTCTGGCCTGCCTTCCCTGGTGTCCCTTCAGCTCCTGCAGCTTTCCTGCCTGGGCCTTCAGGTACGCTACCCGTCTCCCCAGAAGGGACCCTTTTAATCTCCTCTCCACACTTCCTTCCTCCGGAGCACTTCCTGTGGAGGCGGAAAGGCTCACCCCTGCATTGCTGGGTTGAGGGGCAGCCATGCCTCTGTCACTCACCAGGGCCAGCATCATGTCTGGCACACAGGACAGGACACATCTGCTTACTCATTTATTAACGAGTTCAAAGGCTATCCAATAAATTTAAACTATTTTTCTTTTTAGAGGCAATTCTGGTAACACATTTCTCTCTCATTGTCAATTCATTCATTCATGTAAGAAACTTGATTTCCTAAAATTATTGGACTTGGAAAAAATTCAAACTTAAAGAAGCTGTAAGTAAAACTAGCGCCCAGAACCCAGAACACTTTTTACTGAATGCGCTGGTTTTATTCCACTGGCACTTACACTTCATGCATTAAGAACCAGCTATTTGGGGTGATTCTGGTTTCATCCCCCAAAGATGTGGGGAGAACTTATGGAACAAAAACAAATGATTCAGAAACAGAAAGAGAAAATATGTGTTTTAGGATCTCCAACCTCCGGAATTTAAAATGAGAATATGTAGAAGAATTTACATGCACTTGAGCTCACGAAGTTCAGTGTTCTGAAGGAGTCCCACAAAAGAAGGGCCAGGAGCACTTCTAATATGGTGTTTCCAATGTCACATTTACAGGCAGAAGACAGAGGGTGGCACGGGTCACACACACTCAGGGGCACAGAGCACGAACACACAAGGAAACCATGCAGGCCCCTTACCAGCACTCTGCAGGCTCATCCTATCCCTGAGGAGCACATCTCCAAGAATTTGTCGATAAAATATCAGCAGGTGGACGTAGCACATCCCTCCAATCAGTGTTTCTGGCAGAAGGCTGTTATGGAAGGACAAAGAGGCAGTCACTAAACAACCCCTAGGCTGGCCAGCCAACAGGGCTTTTTACTGTAATTACTCTAGGAAGAGGCTGCAAGTTTTGCTTCATTACTGGAAACATTTTAACAACCTAAAGGTGAAACTTCCACTCCAGCTGGCCACATTAAATTCCAGACAACTTGTATTTTAGGTGACACTTTGGAGTCTCAGCTCTGAGTCCCTATGCTGGCCTACATGCCCACGTCAAAGGTCAAGTAAAAAGTCATCAAATACATGTTCTGGAGAGCAGGGGATTAGGGAGCTACAGGCTGTAACAGGGCATGTGCTGCCACGCCTGGCTTCCAGTGCAGAGGAAATGCCAGATCAGACAGGGCAGGGTGGGACACGGGGGTGGAACAGGCCTGTGGCATCCTGACTTGGCCACTTCCTGATTGTGGATTAATTAACTTCTCTCCTTGTGCTTTCATTTCCTCGTTTGTGGAATGAGCATGCTACCTTCATTTCAAGGAACTGGGTGGGTTAAAGGTGGCGTGGAAGGCCTGGTGCAGGGCCCGAGATGGGGCAGGGACTCGGGGCGGACAGAAGACTCAGTACTGAAGTTCAGTTGGTATCGGTTTAGAATAGATGGTTGTGACTTTAGGATACGACCCACTACTCCCATGGTGACCACAAAGACACCACCTCCAGAACAGACACCAAGGAAACTGAAAGGGAACCAACTGTGTCACTATAAAAATCACTTCAACGTCAGGGGAAGCAGGAGGGGGAAATCAGGACAAAAACTCCAGGACACTCAGAACAACCGCCCAGGGCAAGGCCCGCCCACCAGCGACCACTTTATTCATTTATCTGATGCTACTGGGGCTGGAACCCAGGGCCTGGGCACACTGGGAATGGGCTCTGCCACTAAGGCTATCCCCATCCCCGACCAGCAATGACCTTAACTATAATAGATTAAACCCCCCAAATCAAAGACACAGATTGTCAGAATGGATACAAAATGAGATCCAACTATATGCTTTCCTATAAGAAAATATATAAAATTAAGAAATCTTAATTTTATAAATTAATCCTCTATCTTAACCCCAGAGTTTTAGAACAATTATCCTAGGGGCCACATTCAGGCTTCCAGCTGCCTGGAAGGAAACGGTGATCGTGACCCTGGGGATCCCCGTTCCTGAGCTTCCTGGGAACTGGAGCAGCACCTTGCCTACTGTCCAGAAGCATCAAGGTATGGTGCAGGCCAGTTTCCCCCACCTCCAGGCGGGAGCAGCCTCAGCCCTCTTTGAAGCCACTCAGGTTCCCACATCTACTCCTGACCTAGGAGCCGAAGACTGGCAGCCTCAGTGCCCCATGTGCCCTCAGCAGTCATGCTGCGACTCCAGAGGCTGTTCTGCCCCAGGCCCCCATGGCCTGTGTTCCAGCTGCTGCTGAGTAAGTGGTCGCTGTGCTGCGCAGGGGAAGGGTGGAGCCCTCCTTCCTTCCTTCCTTCTCACCCGCTCCTTTGCTGTTTGCTGCCCACCTCCCTGTTCATCTGTCTGGCAGGCAGGGCACTCCCACAGTGGGCACGCCTTTCCTTCTGGCACCTTCCCACTCCATGAGGCAATGCTGCTTACCTGTTTTTTTTTTTTAATTCCTTTAGAAAAACCTCTTGATTTTTCCAAACCTAAGATGGCCAGAAAGTTCTGTGTCACCAAAGGCTAGCTGAGTTGAAGAAGTAAGAACATATCCTCTTGACCTCACATGGGGACCAGCAGTCTCTGGTGGCAGAGGTGCTGTGATTGGGGTGAATGGGCCTCAGGTAGGCCATATCCTATTTATTTTTAGCAATAATATAACAGCATTAAAAGAGAGGAAAAAATGCATCAAAAAGGCAAAGGGAAGTCCATTTCTAGCACTGCCACACACACGTGCACGTAGCTTGCTTCTACAGGCCAGCGCTTCTTGGTGCTCAGAACTCAGAGTTCAAATTCAGAGCTTCCCCTCCCCTAAGGGGCTAAGAACCTGATCACTGCAAATTGAACCCTTTGTACAAGAGCTCCAGAACGAGAAAGGTAATTCCTATTTAACCCTGAGAGAAGGCTAAACAATATAGAGCACTAAGTTAGATCTGAAACAGCTCCAGAGTCAGAAAGCCAAGCCTTGGGGAGCCTGAGA